GGAAGGCTGAGGCGGAAGGATCGCCGGAGCCCAGCAGGTCGAGGCTGCGGTGGCCGGGAGCGGCCACTGCACTCAAAAAAAAAAGGTAATGTCAGAGTCTCATTCTGTCACCCAGGTTGGAGTGCAGTGGCATGTTCATATCCACCACAGGCTCAACCTGCTGGGCTCAGGCGACCTTTCTGCCTTGGCCTTCCAAGTAGGTGGTACTACAGGTACGTACCACCATGCCCAGCTATTTTTTTAAAATTTATTGTAGAGACAGGGTCTCGTCAAGTTGCCCAGGCTGGTCTCAAACCCCTGGGCTCAGGCAATCCTGTCACCTCCACCTCCCCAAGTGCTGGGATGACAGGTGTGACTCCCCGTGCCCGGCTAGAAGAGTTTTCTGATGGTCAGAGGTACTCCCAAATCGAGCTGCTTGGGAAGGTACTGACTCCCAGGCATCTGAAACATAAAAACAGAACTCGATGGTCTCCTGGTAGGGAATCTATCGAGGGAATTCAGTACAGTTCACCAAGCAATTCTGCATGTATTCTCTAATTTTTCCTTGGATTTGCATTCTAAAGGGGCTTGAGGATAATACACAGCAATGCGTGCTGTGAAGTTCAAATAATTCCTGGCGACAGACAATGAAACTGACTCTTAGTTTCCTACCTCCAAAGCAAAAAAATAAAATCAGTTACAGGTGTGAAATGTCCAGAGCAGTCTGGCACATACAAGTGGACTCAGGATTTGGGGAAATTAACGAACACATGATGAGTGGTTAAAGGGAAAAACAAAGTGTCCCCTGGGAATGGCCCGGCAGGAAGAACTTTCTGGATATACGTTTGCCCAAGGGGAACTACGTGAAGACGTTAACTTAACAAAACAAAACGCTTCTTGTGTTATCTTTGCTGTGACCCGCTGAGGTATCACACTGTGTTTTTGGAAGAGACTTTGGAGTTCAGTGATTATATAAGATCACACTGCACTCATATGGCTAGGCCAAGGCTTGAAGCTGGGGCTTAGAACCCTAAATTCAGGGTCACTTCAGTTCCATTCCAGCGATTTCCTAACTCCACGAAAATGCAGGGTCTTATCATAAGCTTTCCTTATCATTAGGCTTTTGACCCAGACTTCTCAGTTCTAAAACTGTTTAAGCAAACGAGCTTCACTGAACGTTGTGCCATAGTAAGCTTGTTGAATAGTCTAACACATGCTTCTGATTATCTGATACTACATATATTTTAAGTGTATGCTGTTAAAAGATTTAATGCAATGTAAAAAAAAGTTTCCTATTTTTTATTCTAATATAATACATAACATAAATGTAATAATTGCTATTAAAAACATTTAGTTGCGGTGGAGGGTGGTCTGAAGAAAAAAAATTGCACTAAATGGCATTTAAAAAAGTACAGTGTTGCCCTCATTTACCTCTGTACTCTTCCCTGGTAACAGTATGTCTGACCACATGACCAGATAAGGCTTACGAATATGCAATGACAAATATATCTGTACTGTAAAGTTAAATCCAAAAACCTATGTTAGTTTTTTCTGTATCGGTTTTACCATTCTGTTATTTTACAAAGCAAAACCTAAGGAGTTCAAACATTCAACAGTAGAGAACAGTGAAATAATTTAGAGCACTCCCAGTGGAGAGAAGTTATGCAGTCACATCATAACATCTAGGAAGTAGAGCATAAGAAAATACTCATGATGTTAGATATAAAAGGACATAAGACTGCATGTATGACTCTAATTGTTAAAAACACATTTATATGCTTAAAAACCCAGCAGGGACTACAATAAGACAGTAACACTAATTAACTTTGTATCTGAGGGAGTACAGATGTTTTTGTTTTTCATACATTTCTAAATTTTCTATACTGCGTATTTTATCATCAGAAAAGCTTAAACATTGTCTTGTTTTAAAAGTCTGCCCTCGACATCTACAGGTTTTGCATCCATGAACTCAACTAACCACAGATCAAAACCTACAGGTACGAAGGCCCAGCTGCATGTCCCTGTTACACGAGGGACTTGAGCAACCATGATTTTGGTGTGGCGGCAGGCTGGGACCTGGAGCCAGTGCCCAGGGACGCAAAGGACTCACTGATACACTGCAGGAAGTAGATGATTCGCAGTCTTAAGACAATATTGAGAAAATCCAGATGATTCACGGTCTTAAGACAACATTGAGAATGTCTAGCCTAAACTCAGTTATTGAGGAAGAAAATTACTGTAAATTATCTAGGAAATATGTACAAATGCCTTCATTAAGCAATTTGTCTGATATTTAGGTATCCGAAATAAATTTTTAAAAAATGTATTTTCAAATATTACTTTCTACTCTTTCAGATGAATTCTCACAATTAGCTCAAAACTAGTAAATCTATGTTTCAGTATCACAGTCACACCCTAGATTGAAATCTGTTTGACAAAAAATGGAAAAATCCTTCGGTAAATAATACTTTCGGAATAGAACTTCTCTCTCTCTGCATATATATGTTGAACTTTTTTTTAAAAATCCAATTTTAAAATGTGCTGAGCTGCTCTCAGGGATTTAAATAAAGTCTAACTATTCCTCTCAAGTCACTCAATCACGCAACAGACAAGATGATATCTCTCCTTTCAAGGTTCACCTTAAGTTTGTACTAGTTCAAAACACGAGAACTAGTGTGAACACATTCCGTTCTACGTTCAACCTAAACTTCGGCCACAATCACTCGGGGACTGAATTGTAGAATGCCCCATTAAGTAGGTCTCCCTCTCCTGGGCCCCAAGCAAGGGGATTACCGGGACTCTTTTTTGGCATCTTGGAAACATCGCTGTGTCCAAAGATGGGGCTCGCTTTTGTCTCAGTGCTCTACAGCCCAGCACAGAGCTCAAAGGGGGGACACAAAACCTCTGCTCCCTTCCTAATGTGCAAGAAGGTGGTAGCTGATGCATACTTACACACATCAGGGGCTCCTCAGTCATCCTTCCCAAGTACTTCTTCTGCTGTTGATCATTTCCAGCAATAATAACAGGCATTTGCTACCAAAGAAAATTGGCATTAAAAATGCAAGTCATTTTTATTGGATATGTAAACTCAGAGGTACTATAATTCAGAACAAAAGAACAACTATTTTTCACCCAAGGGATAAGTCCAAAGAACTTGCCTTTACTTTGCCTGTAAATTAGAGAGAAACTATGAGACAACAGATGTACTCATCTAAGTATTCTCACAAAATTAAGTTCCATGTAGGCCTCGGTCATGCAATTTGTAAAACCTACTTGAGTAAAACGCCCATATAAAAAGTTAAATCTAGGCTATGTGACCAGGTGTGTGTGCTTGCGCCTCCTAAGAACTGCTCACTAAATTTCAGTGCTGCCAGTGCTGCCATCCTAACTCTTCTCCTGAATGCCAGACTTAGACCTTGCCCGTTTCTAAGAATTCACACTGCAGCTGCAGCCCACGTGGGGTTTCCTCGCAAGGACAATCAGGACTCCAAGTACCTGAAACAAGGCCAGAGTGCTCAGGCCCTGGAATCGGAACTCCACGCTTCACTGCCAAATCTTACGTTCCCTTTTAAAGAAAACTCTCTCACCGACTGACCTAGCCTAGTAGTCACTGTCTCATTAACAGCAGCTCATTTAGGCCACCGATGGTTTAACTAACTTACCCCCAGAGAATTTGCTTCAATTGCAGTCTGAACCCCTGTACATCCATAAGCCAGCTCTTCAGTAATTAAACAAGCATCAAACGTTCCAAGTCCAAGACCTCCTACAGAATCAAAGTGTTTCAGAAACATAATATGTAGAGAGCTTCAACAGAAATAAAGGTAAAACAATTTTATTTTAGCTATATCTTCTGAGTCAGGGTCTCACTGCGTGACCCAGGCTGGAGTACAGTGCCACAATCACGGCTCACCCCAGTCTTGAACTCTTGGGTTCAAGTGATCCTCTTGCCAAGTGGCTGGGACTACAGGTATGTGCCACCATGCCCGACTAATTTTTCTGTAGAGACAAGGTCTTGCTATGGTGCCTAGCTTGGCTCAAGCAATCCTCCTGCCTCAGCCTCCTGAAGTGCTGGAATTATAGCCATGAGCCACCACGCCTGGCCAAAACTATTTTAATTACTTCCAATATGACATAATTTGTTTTCAAAGCAAATCTGCAAATATAATATCCACAAGTGTTCTGGCTGGCACACTAATAAATTATACTTTTCTAATGTAAGTTTTAAAAATATCAAAAAAAATGTATCTTATTATTTGTAATCTGGTCCTATGTTTCTGCTTCAACTCGATTTTGTAAAAAATAAACTGTTAAAACTGGATTTGAGGAAAAGAACGAGAGTTCACAAAAAAGTCTCAATAAAATGTAAACTAGAAGGTAGGATTAAACTTGTTTGGGTATATATGTAGTCAATAAACACTTATGACAGAGACTGGTATACAGTAGTCACTCAATAAATGTCCAATCAATGAAAAAAAAAGCAACAAATTGACCCACTCTAGAGAGAGAAGCTACCAAAGTTCAGAATCAAGTTATGGTTGAAACCAGCTAGAAGAAGAAAAATTGTCTCTACTATGACGTCTAAGGCATCTAAAAGCAGGCAAATACTGTGGACCGTACAGGGAGACGGAGGTAGAAAGCCACTCAATGGCAGTAAATATTTGAAAAAGTGGCAGAGTAGAGCTTCACAATTTTTTTATTCATGTGCATTCTAGAATTAAAAACATGAAGAAAGCTTACCACAGCTCTCTGGAATGTGTGAATTCATTAAACCAAGTTCCCAGGCTCTTTTAATTAGGGGGACAGGGTACTAGGAGAAAGAAAAAAGACAAAGAAAAAAAGCCAGCGATAACATTCAAAATACAGATAGTTTGGCTACATGATCTTGTAAAAGATGTAATAAACTTTTCTTTCATTAAAATGTATATACCTACTTCACCAGTTTTATCATATTCTGCAGCAACTGGGATTATTTCCTCTCTGGCAAATTTACGAGCAGTAGCTTGAAATTCTTTTTGCTGTTCAGTGAACTCTAAGGGAAAGTTATTTAGAAAAGATTAAAATAGGATAACAAGTGGAGGGAAAAAAAATCCTTTGAAATTCTTTCTGTTGTTCAGTGAACTCTAAGGGAAAGTTATTTAGAAAGATTAGAACAGGATAACAAGTTTAAGAAAAAAATCCTTGAACATCCAATAAGAAAATGACTGACGGTACTGGGAAACTATGGGGGGGGAGGGAGATGGGATTAACAGTAGCAAATATCTGTCTGGGGCTGGGAAAACACCTCTTATCAACAGGGTGCCTGAATGAAACGTAATTGTATACCTAACCCTTAACTGTACCCCACAAAACCATAATAAAAAATATTAAAAAAAAAAATCCTATGAAGTCCTACATAGAATTTAGATTTACAACAAACACTTTAATCTTTGGATTAGCTACAAAGTCAGACTACAATGCAACTTCTGACTCATTAAGATCTCACTATACAGTGTGAGTAAATCTGTGTCAGCACAAATGCTAAAACAAAAAAATAATAGTAAGATTTCTAGCATTTACAATAGGTAAAGTAATGGATATTAACTTGTAAAGCCCAAGTGGGTTTTTATTTCCCAATTACAGTACCAAATTCAGTATCTCACTCATGATAGTATCAAAATTGCAGTTCAGATATATTATGACTAAAACAGGAGTGAGCTTTTTACCGGGTATTACTAATTCCTAAGCTAATTTACCAAATGTTTACTAATACTGAAGTAAAACTAATATACACATGTCCCGAATCACAAGAATCAATATAACCAAGGAGGCAAGACACACTCATTAGCCATAAAGCAGCAAAACTTGTTTTAAAGTATTACCTAAGAATATCAATATCTCAATTTCAATTTTACGCCACCTTCTTACAAACAAATCAGAAATTAGCACAAGGCAACTGGTAAAAGTGGTAGAGATGCTTCTCAAACGATAACATAAAACTCTGCTGAAAGGTCAATGAGTGATGTTCAGGTGATTCAATTACATAAAATGAGGGGTTGTCATAAACTTAACGAAATGAGTACAGGAGCTAGACTGAGGACAGGAACCAAGGGCTAAGAGATGCATTTTTCCAAATCCTGTGCCATTCCTCGTGTTTTAAGGTGCATGCACCCACAGTCAAAGAACGGGTAGTCAAATGTCGAAGCGGGATAGGATAGCTCAGGCAAGAAGAACGGGAGCAAAAGCACAGAATGAGCAAGGATGCTTAAGACTCCAGCGATCAGGTGCACGGGGAAGTAAGAGAAAATGCAAAAGGCAGAAGAACTGGGTGCTGCACTGAAGAGCAGAAGCTCAAAAATCTCATTTGACAGATAAGGAAACTAACACACACAGTAAGTACAGGCCAGCCCGCCGTCGTACAAGGGATTGGCAGTGGAAGCCTACAGAAGCGTTTCAGTCCAGTGTCCTCCGCACCACAACTTGACTTCTAACACGGGTGCCGGTCCACACCAACGCTGGGTGTGGATGAGTGGCAGGGAAGACAGGAATGTGTTACGTGTTATTTCCTGGGAAACTACTGTGATCCAGCCACCGTGTGCATACTTTACATACAGCTCAAAGCTTAATCTTCCAAGAAATCCTGTGTTATAGATAGTACCCCCATTTTATGAAGAACCAGATGCGACTGGCGACAGGCGCTATCCTGTTCCTTCACGTGAGCTTCACAAATCCCTCCCACCTTTCCTGGCCACTCAGCAAACCACCCCAGATTTCTCCTGCTGGTCTCCCACCGCTGAGCGTGAGTTGTATGTGGTGTGTAATCACACCACTTCAAGGCCAGCATCTCAAGACGACGATCTACTGCCCTTCTTATCCTCCTATCCTCACACTGCTTGAAATTTTTCATTTAGATCTGGGGGGAAAAAATCTTAGAACATACAACATAAAACAAAATGATAACCCTAGAGAGCTCTGAGGCTGTCATTTGCATCTGGGTGTGGGTTAGTTATCTCTGCTGCCTTTTAACTGTTTTCAGAGACCAAGTGAATTGAGCAAATGGGTTTTTAACTGGAGGGAAAGTAAAAATGTTGAAGCAGCACTTGAGGAGGAAAAAGATGTCAGAGATGTCACATTTTTTTGCCTGGAGTTTTCACTTTACAGAGGAAACGGGATGAAAAAGTGCACGCCTTTTCCCTCCAATGCCACATGGCTCCCTGGTCCCAGGAGTGAGGACTTCATCTAACAGTAAAAAAATTTCAATCCAGATATAATCCCAAACAGGCCTTAGCTTATCACCAGGCACCCATATCTATTATGTGTTTTTAAAAGTCTTTGCTGCATTCAAATTTTAAGTTGAAGACTATTCACACATGTCAGTACATCTGTCATTTATTTTGAGCTATACATGTAGGAGAAAGGGAAGGATTATAAATGCATGGATGCTGCTAACAGATCTCTACAGGGTAGCACGCTGAAGAACGCCAGGAGGAATGGAAGGATCGATCATGAACTGTCAGTGGTGACTGGCTGTACTCACTGACAGACATTGCTGTTTACAAACACATTCCAAACAAACACACAGTTTCACATGTGTCACAAACTCATGTTTACAGTCAGAAGACAGGACATGATGCATACCAAAGCTAAATCCCAATCCGGGTTCACGCTGTAGGGCGGCTTTTGTATGCTGTGATCTCCAGCCCAAACGAGAAAGACTTCTCAGGACCTGTCAAGAACACTTTTATTAAAATAAAGTTGATAACTTAAGCATCAATCAAATAAGAGAACACTGACAACTGTAAGTAAACAAAGCAACTTGTTCAACCATACTCACAGACATAATTTATAAAGCCATCATTACTTAAATGCCTTGAAATATAATTTAAGTGAGTCAATTCCCAGGTTTTAAAATTCCTATCCTAGAAAGGTTTTTAAAAAGTAATGAAAATTAAATCAGTGAGATCTGCATACTGAAGTGGAGGGTTTCCAGGACAAACAACAGTCAGGGTAGCAGCAGATGTATATCTTACCAATAAGCTACCAGGGCACCGATGACTGGGGTGCAGCAGGGAAGACAGTGAGATGGAATCCCACATTGCTGAGTTCAGGAGTGGCCTCTCCATCAGCCTTGGTGACCTGTCCCTGGGAACATTATCCTTGGAGGAGCCCACTTTCTTTTTTTTTTGAGTCGGAGTCTCACTCTGTCACCCAGACTGGAGTGCAGTGGCCGCTCCCGGTCACCGCAGCCTCGCCCTGCTGGGCTCTGGTGATCCTTCCACCTCTTCCTTCCAAGTAGCCAGAATTATAGGCATGCGCTACCACGCCCAGCTGATTTTTTGATTTATTGTAGAGATGAGGTCTCGCTGCCCAGGCGGGTCTCGAACCCGCAGGCTCAGGCAATCCACTCACCTCAGCCTCCCAAAGGCGCGGGATTACAGGCTGAGCCCCTGAGCCCGGCTGAGGAGCCCACTTTCTAAGATACCTCACTCTACCCAAAACAACAAATCAGCACACAGTCATGTTCTGCATCTTCCGCTCTTGTCTACAGGCATTCCTACAAAATGTCCCAAACCAGGGTCGGCAAACTGTGGCAGCTACCCGTTTTGCAAATACGATTTTATCGGGACACAAGCCACACTACACTGTCTACGCTGCCTTCACAGCAGATCTATGTAGCTGCCGCAGAAACTACATGGTTCGAAAAGTTGAAAATACTATTTGTGCTTTTACAAAAAAATGTTTGCCAGCCCTGTTCTAAACTACTAATATGCTACTTGCCTTTTTTTTTTCAGTTGGAGTCTCAGTCTGTCACCTAGGCTGGAGTGTGGTGGCATGCTCACGGCCACTGCAGCCTCAACCTGCCGGGCTCAGGCAATCTTTCCACCTCAGCCTTCCAAATAGCTGGAACTCCAGGAACGTGTCACACCCTGTCTGTCTAATTTTGGATTTATTGTAGAGATGAGGCTTCACCAAGTTGCCTAGGCTGGTCTTGAACCCATGGGTTCAGGCAATCCTTTCACTCTGGCCTCCCAAAGTGCTGGGATTATAGGTGTGAGCCACCACACCTGGCAGCTACTTGTCTGAATACTGAAATATACTCATATTTGTTCAAAAGGACATATAAAAACAATACAGATCAAACATACACATACAGCTCCTTTGCAACCCTATTTTGTATTCATGACAGTTTAGTAGACACAAAAGTAACCATTTTCATTTATTAAAGTTTGATATTTATTACCAAACTGGAAATCACAATGGTGCTCAGAGTACAGGTTTGAGAACAAATTACACAATTTACACTTGAAATGATTTTGACGGAGCTATCCGGCAATTTCAATATGCTTGCCTACTAAGAGAAGAAAGCTGAAAAATATACTAAAGTTTCTACAACTGAACTTCATGTTTTTCAAAACCTATAAAAAGAAATTGGCCGGGCAGTGGCTCACACCTGTAATCCCAGCACTTTGGAAGGCAGTGGCAAGAGGATTGCCTGAGCTCAGGGGTTCAAGACCAGTCTGAGCAACTTGGCGAGACCCTGTCTCTACAATTAAGAAAAAAAATTAGCGAGGTGTGGTGGCCCATGCCTGTGGTTCCAGCTACTTGGAAGGCTGAGGCAGAAGGATCACCTGAGCCCAGCAGGTCAAGGCTGAGGTTGCTGAGCGTGAGTGTACCACTGCAATCCAGCCTGGGTGAGAGTGAGACTTAGACTCAAAAAAAAAAAGAGATTGTCAACTTAGTAGATGACAATTTCATCTTATAAAGAGAATTACCTATGTTTAAGGTGACAATATAGACTGTCAAATACTGTAATTTAAGTAGTCCTTTCAAAATAACATATCTCATACTACAATTTTGAAAAAAATGACACAGTAAGAAACTCACATTTTCTTTGAAGTTTCATTGATTTTATTTTGGAAGTGAAACATGGTTTCTCTGGTCTTCATTGTCCAGTAGTCACAGACCTCACCTATTCTTGTTTACACTCATGATACATACGTAATTCCCTGAATCCAGGTCAAGCCTGGGATTAAGGCACTATTTTTATTCCAGTTTCGGATGTGAAGAAACTGAGGCTCAGAAAGCACCTGTAAAACCAGTCAGTCACCCTGCTCCTAGTACAATCAGGATTCCAAGACTTATTACACAAAACCCCTGCTAGCAACACTTCTTGCAGTGAGTCTCCTAACTGGTCACCAGGTATCATAACAAAGGAAAACATGTCACAAAAATCAGACCAAAAAACCCCTGACCCTATTATAGAATGTTTTTAAACATAGCATAAAAATCAGATCTCACAAGACAGGTGAAACGTTCTGCTGAGAGACTTTAAATAGGGGAAAAGTCAGTTTACAAGACTGTTGCAGAAAACACATTATATAAAACAAAGCGCAAAGGTCGCTACTGCAGGGGAATGCTGCCCATCGACCTGTTGGTGACAGACACAACAATGTCAGTCATTAAATTAGGGAGGGGGCTTCGAAATGGAATACAGAGGCGCTGGCTGAGGCCTGTAATCCCAGCACTTTGGGGGGCCGAGGCGAGAGAAATGCTTGAGCCTAGGAGATTAAGACCAGCCTGTTCCACAACAGGTGATCGTGATCTGTGATCGTGCCACTGCACTGGAGCCTGGGTGACAGCGAGACTGCACTCAAAAGAAAAAAAAAAGAAGAAGTATACAGAAATAGCACAGGGCTGGAGTTAGCACAGCTGAATTTGAGCCTAGGTCCTGCAACTGCCTGTGTGATTCTGAACAGCTTCTACTCAAAACCGGAAAATGGCTGCCTCACTGGGTCCTGGGGGATAGCAAATAAGATGCTCTGAAACCCCGATGCCACATAAACACGGGTCTTACTGCTTTGGGCCGTCTGCCCAGAAGAACAGACGGCGAAATGTCCGAGCAGCGCCCACCGCTGCAGTGGAGACGACTGGGCACTTCTCGGAAACGCAGGCCTCTCGGCTTTGAGAAAGGCGTACAAGGGCTCCGCCTCAGGCTTTTGCAGCCTTTCCCTCGGGCGGACGGGCGGACGGGGGGCGGGGGGG